CGAAAAATTTTGTATGAAAAATTAAACAGCGCCCCCTATATTATAGCCGCCCTAGGGGGCGCTGTTTAATTTTTCATACAAAATTTTTCGATGACACTTTGAATACGCAACGAAACGAACTCGAAAGTTTTTCGTACTAGAGGTACTGTACTTAATATTATTCTGTGGTATCAGGGCGAGCATGGGGGTTTAGTAATTAACGGTACAGCGCGTTGATATTTTACCTTATACCTACCTACCTAGGTAATCAATTTTGTTCATAATCGTATCACACGATCGAATACAATTACGTCTCATTACAAAACAACGCACAAAACTCTATTTATTAATTTCAGTCATAGTTTGTTTGGTGATTGGTCTTTTTTCAAGTTCAACCAATGAAAAGCCTAGATTCCCGTGGGAAAAAGCCCTTATGCTTGACATTGAATAGAGTTTTGAGGTTTTTTCTGCCTTAGGAGGTCATCGAAGGTTATCAGAGGTCAACTTCGACTTGTCTCTTACAAGCCGAAGTTGTTATAGTCCATACCTATATGACTTATATTCCTCAGAATTCGTATTCTGAGTTATACTCTTGGCTCATACTCAGGTCTTGATTTTTAGGGCCTGTCCATGAGGGCGAATTCTACGCGCGTAGAATCCATATGCGCGTTGGCGAGATACTAGGAGCCAATACATTGCGTCCACTAGGCCTAAGATGCGCGCCGTGATAGGCGGTTATCACGGATTTTGCCCATACAAATTGACGTCTATAAAAGTTCATCAACAGCCCTTTACAGTTCACTGCTGGACTATGAGCCTCCTACACTATAGTGGAGGGTTTTGCCATAATCTCCACGCTTGGCAGGCGGGTTGGAGATCGCAGTTTAAAAGATTGATGTTTTTCAGAGAGCGCTGCTGCCCATTCTCTGTTTGATGTGTAGTCCCTAAGTCGCCTCTTACGACACCCGCGGGAAGAGTAGGGGTTGGTGACAAATATATTCTACTCTGCCGTCACCACACGGCTAAAAGTTAATTTAACATCACGATAAAAGTTATCGACGTCAATTTATCATATCAGTAAATCTCGTCATACTACAATATGTTCGTGTTCGCGCGTAGGATTCGCGGCGAATTCGCCCTCCTGGACAGGCCCTTACTAATTTACGAATGAAGAGAAATAAAACATCAAACGTTAGCCATTAAGGCGTTTATTACAAAAGTTACATACAAACATTCATAATCTGTAATGTGAACTTCCTACTCGTACTTAGCCACACCTTTCCGTACTACGCTACCGACTAAGTCCGGTACTATGCGCCTCTACTGTTGACTTTTGAGATAGATTTTCAAGTAAACAAAGTTTATACCAAATTATGGAAACTGCATTTTAACTCCTGGTGTTTAACTCATAGCAAAAGTCGCTGCAATGACACATTGCTGTGAACATATTCATGCGCTGTGACAAGTAGTTATTTATCCCAAGTAAACAACAGTAGAAGCACATAATACCATACGATTTTAAAGGATTTCTGTCCATGCAATATGTAATCTTAAAATGTCCATGTATGAACCTTACGTTTCGATGATCATGTACTCCACGTAGAGTATACGTCTTCATAGATCAATTGCACAAACAGACTCCCATAAAATCTCCATACAAGCTTTCTTTATAAGAAAAAATATGACATGTAATGGAACACATCGACTTCCGATTTATAAATCAAATGCAAGCATCCCTTACAAAAATATTCGACGAGACCAGCGTCCATACTTTATTGCTGCCTATATTATACATTCAAAAAACAACTCAACAACATCAAAACACGATTGTAAATACTTGGGGATACATAATACTAGCACTGGTAGTTTGTATATAACGTAATATTTTGGCAAATGTATCTAATCCAGTGTATGCCATCCTTTATGGATTTAACACACTGGATTCCTTCTATAAAGGTGGTAGGCTTCTACACCTATAGATTCTATGAACACACAAACACAGTCGGTGAACCAACGGCAAGTATTAATTTTATTAGATAATAAAATTATCAAGCTGTTAAGTGCCTTTTGATTTTTAAGTTTTTTTTTGCCTATTTTTCGTAGGTACACCAACCATATAGACCTACATTTCAAGATGTTTATTAAGAACAATATCCAAATCTTTTTTGTTTTCTCACACCTTTCATGTTATGTTTAGGGCTTTATCTATAAAAGAAGACAACATCAAAATGTGCAACAGGGTAATGTTTATCAAAACTTTAAATAAGTTTCATTCATCAATGTATATCTATAAAACATAATAAACAATTACAAAGTGTATAACTTTCATATAATGACCCATTGGCATTCTTAATTCAATACATAAAGCACATCTTTGAAAATACTTTTGAAAAGTATTTTAATTCATACGTGTGCTGACTTTCGTAGTGGTAGGAAACTTTTAGTTTTGCAAAAAAGTATAGATAAACTCAGGAGTTCCTTTCAGTGGAATATTTCTTCCTTTATTTATTTATTTTCATTTCGGTTTGCTAAACTTTTTTGCCAAACTGTGCAAGTGCTTTTAGAAAAATAAATAACTTAAAAAATGTTACACAAAAATTACTTTTAATTATTCGTTCTTTTCCGATAATATCGCACTTACTAATATAATGACGTCTAAATTATTCTAATACCGTTAGATACGAGTATTTTACAATTTACTAAAACATCTATAGCTACATTGCAAGATGCAGGGGAAATTAAAAGTTACCATTTAGAGAAAAATAAACCCATAGGTTTTCAAGGAGTATTTCCACTTTCCCACTGTTATGGTTTAGTTCATGACGAAAAGTTATTTTTTCGTATACAAAAGATTCATAGCTACTAAATATCTGTACCAAGCTCTAATACAGCAGTTTTTTTCTGCAAAGAATGTAACCTTGCGATTTCATGCCACTATGCGGTAACAGTCTGCCTTTTGGCGACATCAACCCAACGGTGTGTCCGTATAAAACATCAAGTTCAAACGTTTTTAGAAAAGCCAAATATCGAAGTCTCTCTCTTAGGCTATTTATTACAAAACCAATAACAAATTAAAATAATTCTTAAAATTCCTTGCAATGTAGCCTTCTCGCGGGGCAAGGGACGTCGCAATACCATGCCTAGGGACACACAACACAGGTATCAGGTATAATAACGTTAGGCAGTCTTTGGGTAGGTCGGAAGATTTTATAGCAACTAGACATCCTCAATAAATTGTACTAATATACAATACCACACCTAATATACCGACGCTATGCCAATACGTTGGTTTTAAAGTTTGGGATGATTGAGATCTTTTTGAAAATAAACTTCACAAAAGACTAATAACTTGCATAGAGACATCTTCGACAAAATTTTGACGCTGTGGAGTCTATTCCTGAAACGCATGTTCAATTTTTTCCATCGATTCATGTAAATTCTTCAGCTAGGTATCTGAAGTTTATTTTCAAATGTTCTCTATGATAAAGGGTGTAACAATCAGGAATCTGCTCTCTACCGACCACATTCACTACATACTAACACCGATTTTAGTTACTTACATCTAATATACGAATTTACTCACGAATTACGATTAAATATATTCCTCATCCATAATTGGTGTCATATTGAGACAAGCGTCGTACTTATTCTATGCTAGCTGCCACTCGCCTCAATAAGGCTTTGTTTACAAGAAAATATTAATTGAAAACAATTTACAATCAAAATTGTTTACTAGAAATAATAGAGGACCACAAATTGTTCCTTGGGAAACACCTAACCAAACCTACGACAACACATCGCTCGTCACGTTTTAAAGTTATTTATTGAAAATATCTAAGTCACGTTCATCAATTGACTCTTTCCTATACCTTTCCATTCGGTACGGGATTATAGATTGATCTAGCTAGAAACATTAATCAAATAAAATTAGGTAGACAAAATTTTGAAGTCACTCAAAGGCTAAATGAAAGATGACGTACAGAACACTCGTGATTTTCACAATTGTTCATGATTTTTGTAAATGTATAAGCATTTCAATATGAGCCCAAATCATATACCTATAAAATGGAAACTTAACGGGTTCAGGATAATAATAGGTATCTTTCCGTAACATTGATAGATACATTACTCTTTAAAGTATGTAAATTATTTTCCTAGCAGGCCCTTAGCTTCTCTCGATGTTGATTCACTCTCTGAGATTATAATTTAAATTGATCAGTAAATTAATTCCAAAAGGGCTCGTGCTTTGTGCGATGTTCCGTATAGTGAATGTTATGAAGAGGACTCTCGGAATACCCTGGATCGTCACATAAAGCGTTCAAAAAGATTCGTTCATGGCTCACAAAACACTTTCAAACACGATGGGTTAAACGAATTTAAACATTTCAAAAGGTTCTTTGTATACGTGCAACGGCATCACAAAAACAAATTATAAAGGTCTCTAAAACTATGTAGGCATATAAAGTGATGTAAGATTATCATTTGAAAAAGTAACAGTTAACCATCTTTAACATCTTCATTTTATTTCATTAATGACGGTTAGGGATTAATGCATGTAATAGAAACCTTCGAAAATATCAGGGTTTGTTTAGGAAAGTAAACAATACATCTCGTATAAAACACCAGTGGACAGAGGTCTTCCCCTAATTCTAAACTATACTGTACCGTAGGCCGTACAATTTCAAGATCTAACAAATTCATGGCTACACACATCGTTTCTATGACAAACATACAGTTACGACTATAGAGCATGCATCTATAAATGGAAATTGAGTTTCGTGTCTAAGTATAACGTCCATTTTCAAATAGAGTGACCAGATATTCTAGTAAGAGATAGTCCAAAATTGGCGTCTCATCACCTTCATCATTGGTGCTCACAGATTCGCTAGAAGAAGATTGTTCATCTTTATAAAAAATACTTTTATAAAAATGTCGATTAGGCTCCGTTTGCCGCAATCCAGCTAATCAGTAGGCACCGTTATATACAAAATTCATAAGATTTTAGAAAGTTAATACTTTTGGCACGTCAATACTTTTTGTGACCAGCACAGTAACGTCTTGAGCAAAACCGCTCATTTGTATTAAAAATGTGCGTTAATTTTGATGTAAAAAGACCTTGTATACTTGTAAAAGCATATACTGAGTATTCATTCGTTCATTTAGAATCTTATGTGAACAGGTTTTCTCTAATTCGACGACACATATTACAGTAGATATTTCTTAAACATTCATTCAATCCAGTGGATCTAATGGAAGTACCACCATTCCCCTTCATTCACTAAAACCGTTCGAAGATCTTTTTACATCAGGATCAAAATTAGAATTCATTTCAAAAATGGACATACCAAAGTACCTTTTCGTTGAAATTTTTCAATAATCTGATGCTGGGATTTGTTAAAAATTAAATCATTTTTGATCAGATTTCCATAATGCGGTGTATAGCATAAAGAGGAATGTAAACATTTTGATGTGACGACAAAGCTTACACAAGAGACCATCACTGCAATTTCTTTCCCCAATCTGACTTATGGTAAGTTTTGTCTTCAAAAGATGTTCCTACCACAAAACCAATTGCATTATGTAATAAATTGTGTGTTTCAATCACGTTTACATTTCTCCCAATGCTCACACCAGCCTGTCATCCACACTTGCTATCGCCATTTCTCAAATTGCTCTGAAATCCCCTACATCATGAAGTCCCCGCAATCGACCCCGAAGTCCCAGTCATCCGACGTGGTGGCTGAGTCGTCGTACTCCGCTAAGGCCTGCTCGTAGGCCGAGGCCTCGTAGGCCGTGACGCCGTCCAGCATGGAACAGGCCTGGGACACGTTGGTGTGGTGCATGATCGGCATTGCGTGGAGGGCGAAGTCGTCGCCTTCTTGGGACCAGGTTAGACCTGCAAAGTTAAATGGTACATTTTTGAAATTAAGATCATCTTCTGGCAGAGCAGACACATTGTCCACGTGGGCCTATATACTTTATTATTATCTCAAAAAGGTTAAAGAACCATAGTGATTTCAAAACAATATTTTGAATTAGAATTTACAAAAAACTTGTTCTATCCAATGTGATATTTTCAGCCATCCATCTTTTTCAAACAATTCGTCGTTATTTTAGCTCTTATCTAAAAAGATATTGCTGCAATGATATGACAATGGATTAAATGCAACCATATCACGCAGATACTACTGCTCAATACTCTGCTCATAGAATTAACAAACACAAGTAATTTATATTGCCTGTCACTTGATAACACCTAGTAGTCTGCGTCTGAACTTATAATATTTAAATTTTGTAATTCTGCAACCATCGGACATTGACGCCCGTATTCACAAACGTTGCTTGCTTAAGGCTGGGTAACAGAGAAAATGGCGAAAATGGGGTTTTCATTTTTCATTTTTGAGGTACTAAACAGTAAAATAAAAGGCTAAGATTTTTTTTGGGCATAGTTGAGGATATTTTCTAGGGCTATTAACGGATGGAAACACGATTTGATGAAGTTGACTCGATAGAATAAATTCCCAAAGTTACCTCTATTCGTTTTCTAATAATGGTTTTATTTTTAAAATAAGCGATTTGAGATTCTGAATCTTTTACTAAACTAAAGTTCAGAAATAACTTGAGGGCTTTTAACGGATGAAATTTTTATATTGCGTCTTATTTAGTTACTATGTTAAAAAATGTGGAAAAAATCGCCCATGACGGCTTGGACAATCTCAATCAGTCGCGCGGTGGCGCTTACGGAGGACGGACGCGTGCCAGTTTTTTGGCCGTGACAGTTCTCGATATGTCAATATTTTTGACAATGATGACTTTGATGAGTCACAGTATAATAATACCAGTGTTACTGGAAAGCCGGCGCAGAACTTCCAGAAGGTCGGGCGACGCCACGGCCACTTTGAACAGTGTTTACTTCTGCAGTTATATTTTATATTTATTCGATTCTAGAATATATTCCCAAAAAGTCTGAAAGGTGTTTTAATTTGTATCACTTGGATATGATTTCTATTAGAAAGTGTTGTGAGTGTGACGCTTGAAGGGAAGGAAGTCAACCTAACCTAACCAACTGCGTATTTCTATACTGTGTAGCTGGAAATTGTGGCGGGAGCTCTTTGACGCGCTGTTTTCGGCGAAGAATTGCGCGCGCAGATTTTGACAGCGCGAAATACCTACTTTAGAAGAAATACCAAGCCTTAAGTGAAGCAGCAAATCGAAAGCACAGAGTTGAATAGAGCTCTGTGATTGGTTCGCGTGTTACCCTATACGTGAACGCGCACTGAGAGACTTTACTGTAATGGTTGTGAATACGGGCGTCACCTCAGGCGTGACTCTCATTGGTTATAGAATCATAGACAATGCTGAACACTTACGGCCGCTCCAGACGCCGTTGGGCAGCGTGACCCAGCCCCAGCCCTGGCCCCAGGCGAGCTGGTGGTCCAGCTGCCCCGCCAGAGGGACCTGCCTCTTGATGACGGCCACCAGCCCGCGACCGTCTAAAGCTCCGACCGCGTTGCGGGAGCTCCGGGAATACATCTCGGAGGAGGTCGCTGGAAGTAGAGAAATAGGGATGTATCAGGTCATTTGGTCTATTCTGGTAGGCCCTTCTGGCAGGGAGTGCCTCATGTTTGTTACCCGCTTGTAGAGGGAGGTATTTTCAATTGAAGCTACTGTATTTGTGCTCACCAGTTAGCGCTACGTGTGAATATGGTCTCGGCCTGTCACTTGCTAGAGGCTATGACGGTGGCGATAACTCGAGAGCGTAATTAATATTGTGTGATTAGCAATCTCCAGGTAAATACGAACAGCCCTGACCATACAGGGTGTAAAGTTAGTCACCGTATTTATTGCCCAGTGAATGTAGGCATTCATTACATTAGTTCACTTCAATCAGATAACCCACAGTTACATAACTTAGGTAACTATAACCACATTCTAAGGGCAATAAACCGAATATCTAATTACTTGTTATCTTTGTCTCGACAAAACAGACAATAGGAACGGCATATTAATAGCGAGACTATTAGGTTAATGAAGTGCGCGTGTAGTTTTGGCGGGAAAACGGCGGCCATAATGGATTAACTGTCAAACGCCATGTCAACAGCACAAACGACTGTGTTTGTGGCAAAACAAGCATCTTGTTAAAGTAGGATAACAATATTATGAATCTGAGAAATGTAAAGGCTCCTTATGAGCAAAATTTGACGATTAGCAAGTAGATACTAATTCAATTAGTGTTGATTTTACTTCTATTACTTTTTAAAAGTTTAATCCAAAAGGAAACGCGTTTTTACCTAAGTAGGAATTGGTCCTGAGGTAACAGAATTACTATTTCATAAGTAAAGAAAACTATAAAAATAAACATATTTTTCTTGTGCAATATTGTCAACTATATTAGCTCCCTCAGGTAGTAAAGTCAAGCAAACTCGTAAAAACATGATTTACAACGAGGAAATTGCTTAATCAGGTTCATTATACGACTAATTAACCGTTTACAGCGATCGCGACCTTGAATAAGATGTTAATCAATAAGCCACAGCTGCACAGTAATAGAGAGAGGAATTTCTCATATTCTTTATCTAACACACGTCTTCACTAACATTACTATGAGGTCTCACTGCGCGTGGACGCATAGGGTGACACACGAACCAATCACAGAGCTCTATTCAACGCTGTGTGTTCGAATTGCTGCTTCACAAACAAGCATCATTTGTGAATACGGGAATTATGTTTTCCAAAATGTTATGCCATTATGAATTGCAAGTAGAGTTGTGAGACTGTTCCGCGAAAATCTTATAAAAGCGCTTTTCAATTTCTATTGGTAGAAAATAAATGACTTTTACGACTCTATGACCTCATTTGGTTTAAAAAAAATTGAAAACCATATAAAATACTAACCTCCTTACTAATAAAAAGATACACGCTGTATTAAATACACATTTCCATACTTAACGCCACTTTAAAACACTATTCAACGAATATTTAGGTTGAGTTGCGCTATATCTTACTTTGACTTTACCAAACTCAAAAATCTGTCAAACTGCATACAAAAAGCACCGGTTATTGGTAAAGTTGCGGTTAAAGTAAGTTGGTGCAACTCAGCCTTAATTTTTTATTACGGGATTAAATTTGGGATCAGCGCAGATTATTTTATGAAGGTATTCTTATATCACTAGTCAAGTGGCATCTTACGAGTATGTCTTATCTATCTTATGTCCTATGTTAGGAGCTCTAACAGTACCTACTCTAACCAAACACATGGCCATTCTTCTAAAACGCCAGGTACAAACAGGACCGACACGACTTGCCCATTAAAGTTGTGAACTCGGCCGACTCAAACTTCGCGTTTTGTTTCAAAACCTTTTAGGCTTCATCGTCCGGAGTTATTCAGGGGTTCAGTTACCTTGGAACTTTAATTAAGGGTCAACTCTAACAAAAAGCTGAACCAAAAAATTGGACGCATTCGAAATTTTTCGAAAGGAACAAGGTTTAGGTTTTTTTTACCCATTAAAACCATAGTCACTTGCATGAGAAAATAATAACTATTCACAAACGATGCTTGCTTAAGTGAAGCAGAAAATCGAACGCACAGCGTTGAATAGATCTCTGTAGTTAGTTCATGTGTCACCCTGTGCGTCCACGAGCACTGTAAGACCTCATAGTAATGTTTGTGAATACGGGTGTGTCATTGCCAACATTTATTATTTAACTTAAAACTGTACGAGTATTTCAAAGATACCTAAGTTAGGAATAGTTCTGTAGTCGGTCATATATTTAGTGGTTTGCCAAGGTAAATAATGGAACAGTGAAATAAAAGGTACACCATGTTTCACCCGGAGTATTTTCTCGTAGATAATTCTTGATACCAGTACTTTACAGCTAAAAACCAAAATGCTAGTAAACACGAATGTTATTTATAGATTAATCCGTTCTATTTTGACTCGACAGTCGTTAACTGACCGCTGATCGTCAGTTAGCAGATGCGGTCAGTTAATTGCATCCTCGGAGTCGCCTCCGCGCTTGAGGGTCGTCACTCAAGAGGGTAGTTTAGGTTTACCCAAGCTACTCGGGAATTACGGACCGGATTTCTTTGGCTGAATTTATAGGCTATAAAGGAATCTACAGGGTGGAAACGATAAGTGATCTCACTCGATTATTTCTAAACCATACAAGATATCGAAAAACTGGTTCCTGATCCTGAAAGTGCTTTACGAGCTCTTTCAAATGGCACCAATAACAGGTTACAGAATAAACTGGATCTATCCGAAAATTCAATGTTTCCGGCTTCCATACATTTGGTACAGCCTCATAATATTAAAAACTACAGAAGGTATCGTAAAACTGGTTACTGATCCTAAAAGTGCTTCACGAGCTCTATCCAACGGTATCAATATTAAGTTACAGAATAAACTGGATCTATCCAAAAATCCAATGTTTCCATCCCCCATACATTTAGTACTACCACAGTCATGGCACTCATCTCTTGATACTTGATACAACACTTTATAGCAAGTAAAGCCTAAAACTAATTATTTCCTTGAATAATTTTAAATAAAAATGCGTTTTTTTTAGGTTCATTATTTAATTTTTAAAAAATACACTTAATATTGTGTGGTTGGCATACATTTAGTATGGAAGCTGGAAACATTGAATTTTCAGATACTTCCAGTTTATTCTGTAACCTGTTATTGGTACTGTTTGAAAGAGTTCGTAAAGCACTTTCAGGGTCAGTAACGAGTTTTTCGATATCTTGTATGGTTTAGAAATTATCGAGTGAGATCACTTATCGTTTCCACCCTGTAAAGTAATCTTATGAAGATGTTAAATCGTTTGATGTTAAGTAAAAGTAAAAAATCTAAATATATACAACTCAAAGGTGACTGACTGACTGACTGACATAGTGATCTATCAACGCAGAACCCAAACCACTCGACGGATCAGGCTGTTTGGCATGCAGGTAGATGTTATGACGTACGCATACGCTAAGAAAGGATTTTACGAAACTCCACCCCTAATGGGGTAAAACGGGATCCACGCGTAAGAAGTCGCGGGTGGCCGCTAGTATTGTTATGCAGAAGCTTTTACTTAGTTCATAAACGTCATCAAGACAAAGTTAAGGGCTCAGACAATATGACACGAGGGCTGTCAGTCATAGAAGAGTTGTAGTCTACACTGCAGTCGGTAGTCCTGGTAGCAGCATCATTTTTTTTTTATGCACAACGAGAAAGCTCTTGGCCTGTATCTCATCTGATGGTAAGTGATGATTAGACCGCAGGTGGAAGCGAGCTTCACCCGGAATCCTCTTACCACGGAGGAACTGGCTATCTTACCTCTAACTGCCGGAACACAACAATGCTGTTAACATTGTTGCTATGGCGACAGACTTAGGTAAGATGGTGGTAGCTAGCCAGGCGGACTTAAAACAAGCCCTACCACCAACCAAACCGAACAGAAAAATCTGCCCCCACTGAGAATCGAACCACAGGTTATCATGTGCATCTTAACAATATTGCATAATCATCTGCAGGTTTATATGTAAGAGTTTGTTACTCGTATCGTATAGGTAAGCATGCGTTTTAGGCTATACGATCTACGGTGCTCACCAATTATACATAAATAAACTGCAAGTTTTTTTTGTAAAAACTGAGCAATTTCAATATTTCCTACAGGGAAAAAGGGGCAAAAACTGTCAAAATCAATTACCCCAATCAAAAACACGGCTCACGGTTTGTATATCAGTTATTGTTGAATATGTATTCGGTGTCTGTGTTTAGAACAGTTTAATGGAAGACTTAATTCGCAGCGTTGATATTTGCATACATCTCTGACATTCAGCGGGGTTAGGGAATATTAAGTACGAATCCCAAATTCGGGTTGAACGTTAGGGTTGCCCTCAGGAACTACTGGTCCGATTTACTCAAAATCTTTCAGAGTTAGAGGCTATATTGTCACGCTAAGACAAGTAACTATTCCACGCGGAAGAAGCCGCGGGCAGAAGTTATTTTTTCTTTACAACTATAAAAAAATAAAGTAATATAAAACCACAGAAGTTATTTATTCTTCATAACTACAACATCCGATATTTGAGAGCTGAATTTGTAGACTTTCAAAATTTACCAAAGATCATTGAATTAGTAAGAGCAAAACTGACTGAACTAATTCGGGTTCTTTTTCCAATAGTTTTTCATTGTAATGTCATGAAAGACTCTATTAATATGTAGAGTTTGCCTGAATCTTGAAAAAAACGTAAAAATATGTTTCCTTCGATTCTAAAAACTCTTTTTCCCATCTAAACTTGCTCATTTTTGCCAATAAACAAGTATTGAAATAAAAATTACTACAAGTATAATACATATAAGAGTAATTAATGTTATTGTTATCGTGAATAAATAATGCATACGAGCAATCCCTTTAAATTAGTGGAAGTCACATTAACTCAAATGTAGCAACCCTACGTGTCGTAAAATGACAACATCCCACGTTATATTATCTGGGATGAATGGATTTTCATGGCATTATCATGTCTGTATGGGTTTGGAATATTGAATGAGCGGAATATTGTTGCGAATTGAATTATTAAGTATATCCGAGGAAATTGTTAATCAGGGCGTGTTACGGGGAAATAAAGTAAATGAGCA